CTTACTTATACAAAAAGGATTTTTAAATTAATATCGGTGATATCCCTCCTAGTTAGTCAAACCCACCCCCTCAAATCCAAATCGAAAGAAGTTGGCATCGATCCAGTTTTGCGGGTCCGCGTGAAAAAATCCCACCATAGTACAGCTGGCTGTCATCAAAATAGCCACAACAACTAGGCATAGTGAAACCGTACCCACAACCTAAACATATTTCCCACAATCCATCAACTGTAGATGTTTATTCAATACTACCTTAAAATCGATATAGATTTATGAAACTCACCCGTAGACTGCAACAGAGAATGAGGAATGTGAATAAGACACCACACAAGGCTGCAAAATCGTATTCTTCACTAAGTATCCATAATCCGGTATCTTGATGGAGTAATTTCAGTGTCATGTACGGATGAAGGAGGCGACGGAACAACAGATTCTAAAACAAAATCATGCAATGGGAATGAATAACATTCAGAGTTCAGATCTGATCTTCCACTTACAACGTGTTCGCTCCAAGCCTGGCAGAGAATAGTAGAAATACAAACAGAATCGAGGACTGCTGTCCAACCGATGATAAAGGCAGGCAGCTCTCCAAGCGTAACGTAAGTGAACTGGTAAAGAACGCAGTTCTTCGGCACTGCACATGACAATTCAGCCAAATGTGCAGCTGAAAAATGCTCAAAATGATAAATATGAAAGGTTTGAAAGGGTGATTAAAAAGCACAACAAAAACTTTTACAAGCATTTCGAGTAGAACTATGCTCACTATTCAAATTGTAGCAAATTGCTTTCATCAAATTTAGCAAATTTGGACTATTTTTCCGCTTCTCATTCATGCTCACCATTTTGCGAAATTTATATTAATTTTTCAAATAAATACACCTTTACGTGCTATCTTAATCACAAGCCTATTTCCTTCCCCGTAGGTCTAGAAATAATAATATTTGCCCATCAGAACTTAAATTTACACTGATATGAGTTCAAATACCGGGTGCTTGGAAAAATTCTAAAAGTTCTGTAACATCAACTACATTAATAGTATTTTTAAATGCACTGACAATAATGCTTAGCTCTTTGTGGGAAACATTTTTTCATATGATATACGACCCACCGTTGAATTGTATTGCTTCAATTGGTGCGAACCACTTAAAAATTCTATCAACCAAAACAGTTCAAGGAGTTTTTGGAAATGCTGATTACGAAAATTACATTCAACCCATGGGGCCGAATGCAGCGTCAGCGGAAAAATTTGGGTATTCCTTACAATGGTCATGGAAATCCTACTTGTTTTGTACCGCGATAACTATAAATTTACAATAAAATGCTTGGTAGCAATTTCCTTCTCATCCAAAATGTTGTTTTTCCATCCCTATTATGGCTCTTATTGATGTCAATTATACCAACGTCACCTCGTTTCCATTTCTTTCAAGAAATGCAGCATGTCTCCTACCATTTTTTAATTAAAATGATGCGCCGTAAAGGACATAATAATTTTGATGGCGCTAGTAATAATTAGAGTGACTGGTTACGAGCAACTTTATACACATATCTGTTTAGCTGTTCGTCCACAATCATCATTTCAAGCAAACATTCAAGCTTTCTGTGATTTCCAAAGGATATGATCCAACCATGAATCGTACTACGCCAAGTTGCAGAACGGTTGCGTTCCATAGCTCTATTACGTTACCATACGAAGCACGTGGTGCAATGTCTTTAAAAACGAACGCATAGGTTAGAAGTCAGCTGGCATTTTATGTCATGCAACTTCCATTATTGAAGCACCCGTGACAGCTATGATGCTTAATTTTTCCAAAATAAATTTTATCGCAAATATGCCACAATGTATTAAACTTGGATAAAACGAGTTTTTCTACTTTTGTAAGATCTCTAACTTCTTGTCAACATCGTTGGAAAATTGATTTTTTATGATGCTGTTCAAAAACTCAGTATATCAGATTAACATCACTACAGCCAATTTTTGGGGTCTCTTACATCTATACAATCATAGGATCTATAATATAGTGCTTAAAGACCCTATACTGACACATTTCATTTTTTAACAAGGCCATAAAGAACTTTAATTGGATATGCAGTTTACGGGAATCATATCCGTTTCTCGCAATAGGACTCACGGTGGGATGTAAGCATATGAGGACAAATTACTGATTCGCCTAAAAAGTAGTCAGCATAAAGTGATCATAGCGAAAATCATATCTAATCGTCATGACGAGGCAACACCGCAGAGTAGACACAAAATTCTCAAATTTTCCTTTTACCCGCTGTTCCTAAGCTTTCCATTATGACATCCTGATCCTATAGTAGGAGTCTACTACTTAATTTCCGAGTTTTTGCATTCCAAAATTCAATTTTTCAATAGAGCCTTTTTGGCCGTATAAACTTTCTATTTCCACTTCTATGCAATATATATATATATACGAACATAATTCTGTCTTCACTAACATTATAAAACAATTTTTCTCGGACAACAGAAATGTTGGTAGGAAGGAGGAAGCGTCGAACTTCCTTTTTTTTTAGAAAATTTTTCCATTCTTGGTCATGCGAGGATCAGTATGTATTTGAGAACTATTGAACAGGCAAAAAAGCTACATGTCTCTTGGACTAGTTCGTCTCGATCTAATGAATCCATGAAAAAAATGCCTAAGTTCTATTCGCTTAGTGAATCTAAACTTACATGATAGTAATACTACTACTGAAGTGATCAGCACGGCCAATAGAGTGGATGGACCAG